ATAATCGAGGGTTATTTTAAATTTAAAAAAATAATAATAATAGGTAGTATAATATATACGTATATTATATAATGTACTCGCCGAGCGATAAATATTTATCTATTTCCTATTTTAATTTGACTAACTATATTTACAATACATGTCATGACACAAATTTAAAACCTACTCATGCCACTATTATAAACCTCAATATCACAGCTAGAGTTTTTTTTTTTTTTTTTTTGGCGCATAAACGTAAAAAATAATCAGGTTTTCTACTGTTGATTTAACTATGCCGCGTACTTGTATTGTTTTATGTATAGTACCTATTATATAACGTCACGTAGCTGTTCACTGGTCGGCAGTCACAACATAAATTATTTGATCTTGAGTCTGCAAAACGTATGCCCGGAATTCAGCTAAAAAATTATGGGAAAAATAGCGAAGTTGTATTTGGAACAACTGTATACGATAAATGTTAATTCTCCGGTGCGGCTAAGTGCAACATATTTAAAAATAATGCGTGCCAACGACTGTTACTGAAACGTTGTCTCGACTACAGACGTGCATAAATCTTCAATGAAAATAATGCAACAAAAATTACAGTGTAATTCCAGTCATACGTTAAGTAAATGTTTTTTATAATTATATATTATATACGAGTGTATTGGCAACGAACTGCATCGTTCCAACGATTTCATGCATTATTCTGTTATTTATAAAATGTTGTAATTTAATAAATTGTTTATTAATATAGTCAATCGAAACTATGGTTGAAAGCTTACGTGTGTTGGTATGCTCTATAAATTAAAAAAATAAGTATTACGGTCGGACAAGTGGTTCCAGAGCTAACCCGTTAAAAAAATATTTACTTCAGTATTATACATAACATATACTATTATGCATAATATTATAATATTGTACACTTACTTCTTGTCTCAATGAAAATTATTCACTAACCAGATTATCAGGATAGTATTTAGTATTTTTTTTCAAGCAGGGTGTCTGCACCGTGTTCGTCCTCGTGCATACCAGGCCGCCTACTTTATAGTTTAATATATTCCTCTGTACCTGTATCCCGATCTAACATTCTAACTTATACATATATATATGGTGTGAACTGTTGAGCACTTGGCGGGTAAGATTAAACTAATAATTCAACTTTTAAAATATTTAGTTGTCACACACGTCGACTATTCGACACTGTAATCAGTTACTATCTGAGATTATATTTAAGTAGCATGCAAACAACAACAACGAAATTCTTTTCGTCATTTTTGGTTGAGGTAAAACAAAAAATTAGGTACTTAAAACTTAAATTGTGTATGGAAAATTATTCAATCGAAAATTGTCTGACTTGGACAAGCATGGCCAACTGGTAGGTAAGCATTTTATTCATTGTATATTATGGGTGTGAGTTTCTATTGACATATTTTTATAATATATTAATTATATTAAATTAGAATAATAAATTAGGTGTGAAGCTGAAGGTGCAGGTACCTATACCGAGATACCGACAATCGTCAAAATACGTGGTATAGGAATGCATATTAGATAAAGTTAAATAACTATTTAAATTAATTTTTATTTCAGTACATTTTTATTTAGTTTTGGTACATATTATATTAAAACATTTTGAAATAGGTTTAATTTTACCGATCCTGTATCGTATATCTTTAAAAGTTAAAACTAAGTTATATAGAACGCTGTCATCAAGTCTACTCCTGGAGCGATTTTATTCATATAGAGCCTTTCGTATATTATTTTATTCGATAAAACATTAAATTGCAAATATGGTTTTAAATATTCCCTTATTTTTAACGAGTCTCCCTATTGTAATGGTCTAAATTTGGTAAACGGTGAAAAAGCTCAGTGAATAATCACTGTTTGGAAAAGGGGTTCGATGAAAAGTTGGAGCGTTATTTTTCACGAGCTATTTAGATAATTTGAAGCAAACAAAACACAACAGATCAGTTCAATTATTTAATTTGGATGGAAACCACAATTTTACACCCAAACCAGTTTTCTAAAATTAACAACAACAAGACAATACGGTGTTATTACCTACTTAAACGTAATAAGTATACCCAGGTCATTGTACTCGATCACGCACTACATAATTATTAAGAGTTATATAATATAGGTAAGGTACTTACTTTTTAGTTTCGGTACTAATTTGTTATCGTCCCACTTGGACACGTGAAACTATTAACGACTCAGGGGGGGGGGGCGGTCACGGATGTTTTGTTATCTTTCAGCTACCCATACAATCGATATCATACCCGTTTCATACTCATCAATGGTTTGATTTACAAAATTATTAATTCACTTACTCACGAGACCTACCGTTTCCCAAACCGGTCGTAAAATACCGGAAATGACGGGGTCATAACGCCTTCGAGTATGACACACTTGCATCACACACGATACCTCATCCATCACTAAATGAAACTGATCTCTCAACTAATTTAATATGATCAAAAATATTAAATATTATCATAGGTACCTAATATGATTTTATCGGTTAATATGTAATAACCTCGTCGTTGATGCCAAAAATATTTTACTGCGTGCCATTATTTTAAGCTATTAAAAAAAAAAAAAAATCCTATGTATTATTATTTTGTTTATTTAAAGTGGCCTACCTACCTACCTATATAATAATATTATAACCTTGATAATCGTTAATTTATTTCAACTTCATATTTTAGATTCCTGATTGGTTTCAAAACGTCATGTTGAATAATATTTTTTTTTTATCTGTTGTCGTTTCTTAGGAGTGCTCCATACGTTATTTTAGATAATTGGACATTTTATTTTTTTATTTCATGTTTGTTTTTTTATTATTTTTTTTATTTCAATTTATTTACTGTGAAATCTACCGAACACAAATTTTAAAATACCTATCAGTTCTCAACGAAGTCAATTATTTTCATTTTGTCGCAATTAAAAAATAACGTGCTGGTCATTTTGTATTGTTTGAAACCCTACACGAATACAAAATTAAAAGACCACAGTGCTATTGCTATTGTGAATTTCTCGAAAAATCCATAAAGATTGAGAATAGAAAGGCCGCTGGTGAAGCTCGTTTCAGACAAAATGTCTTGCTCATATTTCCACGTGAACCGCGTAAACTGTGATTTTAAATTGTCACGATTTCGCGGGTGTAGGTGAATAATATTGTTGACAGCGACAACAGCTGTTAATCACATAATCTCGGTCCCATCGACTAATAGCTACTATCTTACCGGCACCAGGAATTCGTCAGATTGCAGTTTATCGGCGCATACTTTTAACATGGCTGTTTGCTCAAACCAAGCCGAATGCATGTAATATAGTTCGTCAGAATTAGCTAATAAATAATATTAAATTTTATATTATTCGACACCTAACCCAACGCGATCATTGTTTGGAGACTAGCCGGCCTCAATCATTCATGCTTTGAATGGCGATCAGCACCCTGGACCCGCGCATTAGTGCGAATACGTCTATACAGCCGATGTATATATTATTATGATATTGTTATGTGACTAGGTAACTATGCCTTGATTTATGATGGTTATGTGAGTAATGATTTTTTTTGTTGTTCTTTTATTTTATAATCATCAATAAATATTAAAATATGCACTCCCAATCAATATGTTAATTTTTTTTTTTGTTGCACACATATCCTCAGCATAACATACGTAATATTGCGTATACATATTATTATAATGTGCAATAATTAATAAGTTGTAATACGCTGTTAATAACTATAATAATTATAATAATTATTATTATAGTCTCCGGGCATTAAATATTATTAAAATAAATAAATTACAGAAAAAATTATGGAACACTTATTTTACAGCGCATTCCCATTATTTTTATGTTTGTAAGAAGTAATGTTTTTTTCAACAAACAAGTACCACCTACCTCCCTATAATATATTATTATAATTATTATTTTTATTTACTATTACACTTGTGAAATTCCTTTGGACGTGCGTTTAGTGTTGCTCATAACTCACCTCAAAGGCTTGAACATAATAATATTATCCAATAAATTGGCACGCCAAATGATTTACTGTTTCAGCTCGTACTTTGCACATTCTTCTCAAACTTACCTCAACCTCATGGTTCCGGCCGACTAGATGTGCATATTATATAATAACCATAAAACCAGTGAAAATAAAACTGGACATCATCTTAGGGCGAAGGTCGCAACCGTTAACCGATAACATTCCGTGTAGCCAGACGCTGTGGATAACTGGTTTTACCAATTTAGTATCGTTCCTACATCAAATAGGTACTGGTTATAAACCTTTCAGTCTAACGTAGGACTTAGACCGTTCATCGTCGTACACACTATTATACCTTCCTCGGTCCATCTAAAGATCGCGGGAATAAATATTTACATCAATAATTGCATCGTTGCCAGGATGTTTGATAAATCGAGCGACGGATAATATTATAATGACTTAAATATTTTTCGTTTTTAATTTACATGTAAGAAGTCATAATTAAATTACTAACATTTTTTTTTTTTTTTTTTTATAATATGTTTTATCTTGATCTTTATTATACGGATGCAAAACGTGTTAACTGTTTATAAAATTCTTATTTTATTCAAAGTAACTCAATATTTCAGATGATAACAATTTAAAAAAAAAAAAAAAAAAAAAACAATAATAATAACACCTATTTAATACGTTCAAGAAAATTATGTTAAATTATAAATGTTATCTCTACAGTGAATAATTTATATAATTCTGTATTTCCATTGATTACTAAATTAGATAGATATTAAATATTTGAATTATATTAACCTACATTTAACAGTACTTATTAAAAAGTATCGTACAACCGTTTTGTATTTGTTTATGATTATATAACATATAATAGAAAATAATTATGATATGGATAAATTTAAATAAAATTATACTATTTTTTTTAGTACCTATCACCATTCCGTGTTCGCTAGTCAAATTTACAAATCAAATCGTTTGTTAACGGCCAAGTTCTATATTATAATAACAAATTATGATCAAATCAACAAAACACAAAGATGAACCAGCTGCAGTATATGAAGTACCACTCAAATCTAAGTTAGAAAAACCAAACTTGGACGGAGATCGATTGAATTTATTCCTATTAATAATATTATACACTATACAAGGATTTCCTGTAGGCGTATCCACTGCTCTTCCGTTGATTTTACAGAGTAAAAAGATGGTAACCTATGAAGATCAAGTAAGTGGATTATACATATTATAATACTTGATTAGGTATTTAGAAAAACGAATTATGTACCTACACTATGTTCGCCCATTTAAGGATCATATACGAATTATAAAAAAAAAAATTAAATTTCTAAATTTAGAATTTTCTGAATTTCTTTGAAGCTAAATGTTATTGATATAGTTGCCTAGTCATAGTATATTTATTTTTTAAAGCCATTACAAAAAAATTTTTAATTATTTTATTCACTATTTTCATTTGCAACGAAGAAAGGTATAGATACTGTCCGTGTTTAATTTTTATTTTATATAATATCTTTAATTGAACACTATGTATTTTGTTTTTCAATATAAAACAAATAAAATAATAAATTTGGACTAATTATTTAATTTTTCATACTGTCCGTAAAATATTGAAATGCGTCGGGAATTTATATTAATAAATTGTAAATAATTATTGTTTATTTTATTTTAGGCAGCATTTAGTATGGCATTATGGCCTTATAGCATTAAACTCTTATGGGCTCCAATTATAGACGCACTCTATATAAACTCAATCGGTAGACGAAAATCCTGGCTATTACCTCTTCAACTATTATTGGGTATGTAAATTATTTTTTTTCAGCACATACCTATATAAGGTATAATAATAATAATAGGCACTATATTGTAGAAAAACGAAGTACCTACTATAAATTAAAACGATAGTAATGTTCTTCAATGTTCAGTATTTCAACATAAAACAACAATACAGTATGCTTTAATAATGTCGGTTAACGAATTCTTCACTCTGCAGTACAATTATAATACAGAACTTATCAATTATTTTTGACATCGAACAGGGGTCGCATTATTTTATATGTCCATCAACATGGATAATTGGTTGCCCGAGACAGGACGACCGAATCTCATCATGATTGTGCGCATGATCTTCGTCATAAACTTTTTGTCCGCCACACAAGACATCGCCGTCGATGGTTGGTCGTTAACGGTCTTGAAAAAGTGAGTACCTACCTACCACGAAGAGTTCCTCTAATTTACAATATATTATATTATAAATTGTTGACATTTTTCTCATTTTGTTTTTTTCTCCAGGAAGAACGTTGGCTATGCCTCTGTGTGTCCTTCTATAGGAGTACCAATTGGAATGTTCTCGGGTTCGGTTTGCTTTACTTTGTTGGTGTCCGAGGAGTTCAGTGTCAAACATTTGGGAACTATTCCCGGTGCAGGTGGAATTATGACTATGAAAAGTACGGACGTGAAATAAAATTCAACACACACAGTTTATAGGCATTATTTGACTTATTTTCGTTTTGAGTAATTTGTAATAAAATTACTCACGTAATACTTTGAGTAATAAAATTAGATAAGTTTATTCATTCTTCGTACGTACACAACTGCTATTAAGTTTTTAATTTTTATAATTTTTTGGTTTAGATATGAATATAAAATGATAAACAAAGTATGTACATTTGTCATTAATTTATCAGTAGCAAACGTAGCATATGTTAGACATTTCCAACAGTGTTTAAAAACTATTAGTTATTTTTTAATCTTTAATTGCATTGCAATTCGTTGAAAAGCATGTGTACTAATTAGTACAGTATAGGTACATAGGTAATGTAACCTACACCCACCTTTTTTCACCCACTGGTCTGTAGACTGTATGGTATAGGTACAATTGTTCAACCCACCGAGAAAAAATTAAAACTGCGCCTATACAGGATGGGCCATTATTTTTTCCGGTTTTCCTTTATTATGTTTTTATTTTTGTTTTAAATTAATACACTTTTGTTTTGTTTTGATTTAATCAGACATAATTCCTTGTTCAGCCCAAGTACGTTTATTTTACCGGTATCCTTCACTATTGACTATTTAAATATTTTTATGAGTTTATTATGATAATAGGTAATTACAATCCTTTTTCTTCTTGATTTTCAGGTTTTTTTACTATTTGGGCTATCATCATTTTGGTAGTCACAGTATTCATCGGATTGTTCAAAAATGAAAAGCATAAATTGGAAGATGGCCACAAAAAAATCAGCGTATTTCAGAATTATAAACTATTGTGGGAAATTTTAAAGCTACCTCGTGTTAGAGTATTGACAATAGCATTGCTGACAATAAAGGTGAATAATAATAACAAAGCATATAATATACTGACAAATATTTATTTATCTTGAACTCTGACTTAAACATACTAATATTATAATAATAAATGTACATACCGAAGTGGCCAAGTATACTGCAACACGTAAACTCAGAATTGTATTTGTTTTATTTGACTATCCGTCGTCAAAATATAACCTCTAAAGTTTTTTTTATATTTTTATGATCCAAATAAAATATGTATATCTGAGTGGGAAGGAGGAGAGGTATACCTATAGTCTATACCTATAGTGTACACAAAAACCTAACAATAAACCCTGGCCTTTTGGGAGATCCACTGGATCAACCACAACTGTTCGCATTACTTTCCAATTTTTTTTTTTTTTACAATCCAGGAGACCTCAAATGTTCCGAAAATTTTTATTTTAGTTTGTTTTATGGACAATCATAATTCTTATAAAACGTTTATCGATTCCTTGCCATGTTTCAAACATTATTTTCCAGATTTTATTTTATAAAATGTATTCTTAATAGAAATTCATAATACCTGAGAATTAATATTAAATGTTTATTTATGTTATATACGTATGATAATAAATTATCACCAGGGCTGTGAATATAATAATTTTGTACATTGATGAATTTCATTCTTAATTCAAAATAAGTGAGACACAAATTTGATTCAACTATTTAAACACACTGTATTTGGCAGATTTTTGCGTATTTTATTCAGCTCATTAAATGCATAATATACCTACCTATGTATTTTTTAAAAATTATTTTTAGTGTATATTTGGTTGAAAAATTATTGATTTGGCTAAATTGAATACCGACATGGTACTTAAATATGATATCTTAATATAAAATATTCACTATGTAGATATATCTACATTTTTTCAAAATTCTATAAATATATGTTTTTTAAGCTGATTATTTAAAAACTTTAAGTGATAGCCACACCCGCAATCCGCATGCGTTCTCTCTATCTTAACATACCAAACTGTACGCTCAGCAGATCACTGTTAATTTAAAAATTAGAATGAATTGATCTCCTATAAAATTTAAAGCTAAGATTTTTATATAGTAAACCTAATTAGTTTTTTTCAAATTTTAATTTTAAAACAACTTATGAGTATTTTTAAGTTGTAAATTGTTTGTGAATTTTAAAATATTCATAACTTGCTTTAAAATTTAAATCCAAAAAACAACCAATAATGTTCATTAGATAATAATCTTACCTTTAAATTGTATAGGAGGTCAATTCACTCTAATTTTTAAACTAACAGAGCTAAAAGTGATCTGCTTAGCTTACAATTTGTTATGTTATGCGTTTGTAAGACAGAGAGAAAGCATGTTGAACGCAGTTTTGCGCCCTCTCAACTACCTAACATAAGTAGTTTTATCTATGTATGCTATTGTAATATTCCATATTTCTATGCATACTATTTATTATCTTTTAAGCTATATTATACATAATTGTGAATTAATTTTATCAAATATATTTTGCATAAATTTGCATATTAATAAAATTATTTAAATATTCTCACATTCTGGGTGTATAAGTGCATCCATATTAATGTTGTTTTAGTGCATGAAATTGACAGCCTTGATAATAAATACAGTTAAAGAATCAGTTTTAACAAGTGACACAACATAACATATTTTAAAGACACCTATTGAGCTAGTGGTATATCCAGCTAAAATATTTCAGCTTTTTTTTTTATAGCACATCTATGTAAAAATTAAATAATTTATTGGACATCCAGAATAAATCACATTAATAAATACAATATAATGGACCACCAACCAACTCACCACTGACGATATTATATTCTACACATTATCGTATTACCTATTACCTATTACCTATTACCTATTAGTATACAGAGTGATTCATTAAGCGTACAACACTCATTATCTCAAAACGTATTAATGTTTTTGAAAATATTATTTACATAGTTTCGAGTTGTTAAATAGACAACGTTTTTATTAAAAAATTATATTTTTTATCCTTATAATTTTTTAAGTTTTTTACTTCTTCGAATGACAACATAGAGTTTTAATTTCAATTTCCAAAGCAGAATATTTTTCTAAGTATTTTGATACATACAAATCGAATTTAGGACTAGTAGTTTATGAGTTATGAGTATTTAAAGTTTAGATGGAGTGGAGTGGTATGGGGTTACCCCGCAAAATGTTTGTCCATTACTCCGCTTGTCTAAACTTTAAATACTTATAACTTATAAACTACTCGTCCTAAATTCGATTTCTATGTATCAAAATACTTAGAAAAATATTCTGCTTTGGAAAATGAAATTAAAACTCTATGCTGTCATTCAAAGAAGTAAAAAACTTAAAAAATTATAAGGATAAAAAATATTTAAAAATATAATTTTTTAATAAAAACGTTGTATATTTAACAACTCGAAACTATGTAAAAAATATTTTCAAAAACATTAATACTTTTTGAGATAATGACTGTTGTACCTTGTACACTTAGTGAATCACCCTGTATAGCGATCAATGCGTCTTTATCGGGATACTGAAATATAAAAGTATTCTTATAATGGGATATTTAAACAGTTCCACTAAAGATATATTTTCCCAATTTGCAGGAAGGTATCAGTAAAAAATGGCTTCGCATTAAAACGCTTTCGCTTTGTATTTTAGATTGGATTTACCGCTACGGAAACTGTAACAAACCTGAAATTAATTGACGCTGGTATACCTAAGGATGACATTATGATGATAACTTCAGTCATGTACGTCATGAAATTTGTTTTTCCAATATTCGTATGCAAATATGTTACGAGTTCAACACCGATGAGTTACCACCTAAAAATGACGCCTATCAGGTAAATAAAAGTAATTACATAAGTATAATCAAACCTATTGCGTCATATACTCATATGAGCCTGTGCCAAGGTAATTTTGTCCACAAAAATACGCTCTACGGGAATATAATGATCCTGTTCTGTAGAATCAACAAAATTTGATAATTTTTTTCTTTCAACTAATAGAAGTTACCTAATATTCTGCGGGCCGCATTAAACTGTGTATTTCAATATTTTAATCTCAAACTTTATAATATGTCTTCAAAATTAATAACATTTCAAGTCTTTTTTAAACATTTATACTACACGATTATTTGAAATAAATAAAAAAATCGGAATTCAATGTGGCTTTATGCTTTCAGATAACTAAAAAATTATCGAATCCGACAATTTTACAAGACCTGTGAATTATTCCTGTAAAGTCATTTTTTTCGAAGTGATACACCGTTTCAACACACCTCCCTTATCGTCACATTGATCATGAATAGTTACACCTAAGTTGTTATTATGTTAAGCGATATATGTTGTGGCACAATACAATAATTTGAACAGATGGAAATACTGTGACAGAAATTCTGTGGTCCCAATCCGTATCTTGAAGGCCTCTGAAATATTTTAAACATGAATTGCAATATTATTCCCTACAATTACTCAAGGTTACAACTGACAAGCACTATTATCATATTTATACTTAAGTTGGACCATTTTCCCATTGAAAATAATAAAAATCTTCCGGTTGGAATATATTATAACATCTTATTTAAAAAAAAAAAATTCTGAATGACCTAATTAATTTTAACATAATAAAACACTTAATAAATTATGCATGTTTAATTATTTTTACTATAATTATAGATTATAATACATGATGTCAGAAATAATATTTCACAATATAATGTAGTATAGTGTATGTATACCATATATATATATATAACATCTAATAAATATTTCTTTCGAACATATGGTAGTAAAAATATTATTAGTCGAAACCCTCAGGACTAATAAAATAATATTAATGTTTAATACATTTTAATGAAATTCAAGGACAGTTAATTTACATTATACAATTTTAATAAAAAGAGGTAGGTAATTAAATATTAAATATATATAATCATCTCGTCATACTGTCAAGAAAAGTATGAAATTGATTATCTTTAACTCTTTAAGACTTTGGAGTCCAAACTATTATTTATGTAGGTACACGATTAGATTGATAATTCCCATAGGTTAATTATTTAAATTTGAAATCTATTACACTCAATACGTTACTATAAGGTAATTAAAAAGTATCGATTTTATCTGGATAACCTATACAAAAACATATTAATATGAAACTTCTTACTATAGTTGATGTAATAAATATTCAAATTAGGTTTGTACTAAAAATGTATTAGTCCAAAATCTTCATCTAACCATTCACTTACACATATTGCGCAACACAAAATTTCTATTTTTATTATAGTGTGGTTTTGATCTTGTAAAGATAAAACGATAATAATTTTCTATTCATTACCGCAACCGAAAAATATGTTTTGAACTTTTATGAACATTTCTGGTTTTTTAATTGTTCCTACTATTCCCAAACGCTAGGCACATAGGTATCTGAGTAGAAATTTCAAAAATATGTATATTAGAATTTAAAAACTTGAATGTTACTCGGATAAAAGAAAAAGCTAGACTATAAGCTATTAAGGTAATATCGAGTTTTAGTTAATTGTTTTAATTATATCATGCACAATTATTTTATATATTAAAACCATTATCCAACCAATGGGCAATTATACTTATTGAACTTCATTAATATTTACCAACAAACCAATAACAAGCAGGGCATCGCCAACGGCTCCCATCGAAAAAGGGCTACAACACGATTGCGCAATTTTTCCTTTTATGGCCCTACTAATTACACCACCATTGCGCAATTTTTCATTTTTTGACCCGACTAATTACACCACGATTGCGCGAAAAATTGCAACACGATTGCGCCCCTATACCTTTTTACCAAATGAGCACCAAATGATATAATATGTAGGTACATATTATTATGTATAATAATTTATGTACAAAATAAAATAATGTAGGAATATAACAATACATTATACGACTTGCATAATGCATATATATGCATTGAACTGTCGATTCACAAAATGCACTTTATTCAAAATCGAAATGAAAAGTTGATTGAGCTATAATGATAGTTGTATATATTTTATACCAGTCAATTTCAAACACAATTTTACAATAATTGTAAGCCTTATATCTATATGTGTTTGAGTTGATTTTTTGACTATGTATAATAATTTATAAAGAATTAATAGGTAATAAGTTTGAGTGCATGTATATGAAAATTATAGAAAGTATGTATTGTATACCTACATTATTTTATGTTGTACATAAATTATTATACAAAGTATATACACCTATCATTTGGTGCTCAATGGTTTTGTGATTTTAACATGTAAAAAGGGATCGGGGCGCAATCGTGTTGCAAATTTTTCTCGCAATCGTGTTGCAGCCTTCGAAAAAGGTATTAAAGGTAATTTCCAAACTGCTGACGGTAATACCGGTATACCGATATGAGGTCGATATACCGTGTACCGTTGTATAATTTAAGTTTAAATTGAAAATATATATATCAATTACGAATGGGAATTTACCTGTTATTAAAACCTTGACGGGAGCTGTTTGAGAATTAACATTTTTGTAAAACGGGAGACGAATGGGCTACGTCCATAGATAACAAGATATCAAATGTGTATTTATCACAATTATTAAGAGATTAAAATGTTTAAATGAATAGATACATTTAACAAAAAAATCGTGTTAATTGATTATTGGGTTTTAAAAATTGATATAAAAATACCATAATATATATTTTCTGATATTTTGTGATGTTAATGACCACAGGATTATTATGAGTTATTGACTTGTTTTTTTTTTTTTTGTATCATGGCTAAACCAATAAAAACTATGAAATAATTTAAGGAGTGAATGCTGCTTCACAAAAAATGAAACTTTCACCTTTGTGTTGGCAGATATTTTAGCTTGTTATTGGAAATTTGAATTTTTATGTTGTTGTCACATGCCATACTAATGATTAGTATTTTTGAAGTTTAACCAGTGAACGGGTAAAGAGCATGACTTGAGTGCAGTGAGAAAAAATGGTTTTAAGAATGTAGTTTGGGTGAATATTTTATTTTTTAGAATATAATCCGTGAAATAATATACTTCCGTAAATGTATTTACCTGCACACCACTAAACACTATGTATAAAATTATTGAATTTAATGTGTCTAATGAAATATCATAATATATTAATTTAACAAAATATTTTCCAGATTAATTTGTGGTATTGTATTCTCTGTGTTGGTTTATTATACACCAAGTTTAATATTCAAGGATGGACATGTTTCTATACCTTTATATTACTATCTTCTATTAGGATTGGCAACACTTGTAAACGAGGTAAGTTAATAAATTTTTATTAGTTTCATAATATTACTTCCTTGTTTTAAATAATCTTTTAAATGTAACTTTTTTAACTGTATTACAATAAATTGATTATAAAAAGTCCGAAAATAATGTCACCGACAAAATTTATGTCGGAAATATCTCAGCCAAATATATTTCAGCCGAAAATAATTTAGCCGACAGTATTTTATCCGACAAATATTTTGGCCGAACCGTATTTTAGCCGATCAATATTTTGTCGAAGTATTGTTTTAGTATTTCTGTCGAAAAGTATATTGACAGGAACGTATTTCTCAGATAAGGCTGCAGGGCAAACTAATGTCAGATATAATATTGTCGTCCAAAATATTTGTCTACTAAAATACAGTTTGCCAAAATATTTGTCAGCTAAAATTTAAAATACTGTCCGCTGAAAAATTTTGAAAAATGTCCAATAAAAAATGTATCGGCTAAAATGCGGTTCGAAATTTTCGGATTTTTTATGCACTCTCAATAATGAGTTCAAATTTATAGTTAAATCTATTTTTGAATTTTAATAAAATTTCTAAATTAAACTAAACAGGTATTAATAAAAAATTGTATATCATATTATAAGAAGATATTATTAATGTTAATAATAAGTATAATAGTATAATAATTATTTATTTTTTAACGTTAAACAGTATTATTTAAAAATTACGACTTATGAAAAACAATTAATAATACAATATTTTAAATTTTGTTCTAGATGTTGAGTTTATTTTTGATGCTGACACTATTGGCATTCTTTTGTAAAATAAGTGACCCCCGTTTTGGTGGAACTTACATGACTCTATATAATACATTTTACTTTTTGGGATGGTTGATACCGAATACTTTCGTTTTGAAAATGATTGACATTTTAACTTTCCGCAAGTGTACAAACAATGATGAAAATATCTGTAACACGGAAAATTTAAAAAATGTAAGACATTGTTGAATATTTTACCGCAATTATTTAACCGTTTATCTATGAAGAAAATTTTCACGTTTAGGAATTTCGTATATTCTTAAGTTAATTTTTTAATATATTTTTTTTAGCTATGCATTGTGAGTGGAGGAACTTGTGGAATTTATGTGGACGGATACTATGTATCAGTTGCCATATGTACGGCTATGGGGTTCATTTGGTACTTTACTTTTAGAAATATCTTAAAAAATTACCAATTAGTGGACCTTTATCATTGGATGATACATGGGAAAAACCTAAGCAGTAACGAAGAAGTAATTGAACCATGCATTATGTCTCCAGCGTGATTTCAAACAGTGGCCATACTAAATATCTGGAAGTCGAAGTACATTTTGACATCGTGGTGTAAATTAAAACAGTTTTGCAACAAAAAAAAAAATCGTTTATGTACTTAAAACGCATGTTTAGGCTACTGCAGTGTCTACCTAATGCTGCAACAAGTCAAATAAAGTTATTTTGTTTGATTAACTTGTGATTTATTTTCAACACAAACGATTGTTAATTAAACCGGTTTTTTATATTTTTTGGTGTAGGCATTCAATATTGAAAACCTTGGTAGACGTCTTCCCTATGCACTTAGATATACCCATGAAAACGTTTAACGACTGATCTAATGATAATATTTACCTACGATATTAAGGAACTTGAATACTTGATAAAAAGTAAAAAAAAATTATTAATATTTTTGTGTCGTCGCCTTGATAATCCACCAACTAATTATTGAGGAAATCAAAAAGAAGATACATAATTTGCTGAGTATAATTCACACAAATAACATATGAGGTAACAAAAGTATGCAGAGAGTTGACGCTGTAGCCTATAATTGTAATGGACAACTGGATTCTCAAGTTATAATAAAAAAATTAAATAATTTAATAAACAATGTTCAAAACTTCAAACTCAGAACGTTTTGATAATAAATGGTGATCCTTTGACTACAAATTTTCCCCTGAGGACCAATGGCGCAACTAGGGGGGCTAGGGGACTATAGCCCCCCTGACTACGATTTAGCCCCCCCCCCCCCCAAAAAAAAAAATTCTTATTTATCTAGTTATAAGCCGTCACCCATGTATTAATTTTATGCGGTGCTCTGGTTCACAAGTCGCAACCTATTTATTAATTAAGGCTCCCGTTTGCATTAATTAAAATTGTATACAAAATTATAAAATTATAAAATTATTTATAAATTGTTTAGTTTATAAAATTTATAATTGTTTTGTATATGCTAGAATCTGAATTTTCATCAGCCGATTTTTCCATAACATAATCTAATTATTTAAAATCATTTGATATTGGTGGCTGATGCGATAAATTCAGTTCATTTTTGAGATACCCGTGCAGGTTAACGAATCACCCGATTTTTCTATCGTATTCAGCTGGCCCGATTAAATCAGCTATAAAAATTTCAAGGAAGCTAAAATGGATGAGGTAAAACCGTAAGTAACTCCAAGACTTGAAGTACTTTCTAAAAATCTAAAACCGTTTTTATGAACGTTTGAAGTTTTTACAAGATTCGATTCAGTCAATTAGTTTAAATAGTCTAGTCAGGAGAAATTAATGCACGGAAAATAAATACATCGTTATGCAAGTTGATGTTCAATTCACGAAGTACTAAACTAAATAAGTTACCTAGGTATTGGAGTATTGCAAATTGTATATTATTATGGAAAGGTACGAGCATATCAAGCAGGTACAGTACGTTAGTGTGTTAAAGTATTAGAAAGTATATTACTTTAAACGGACCTAGTACCTATATATGTGTACTTAAAATAAATAACCAATCATTAACTAACAATATTATAGAACTCATGTTAGCAAATTATAGTATGATGTTGACTAATTCAGGCTGAAGTAAGAAATAATAGGTATTATGTTGATGGTTAAAACATAGATCTTCTTGATCGTCTATATAATATTATAACATGCCATATGTAGTTAAAAATAAAATATTATTAAATGATAGTGTTTGTATTAGGTACGATATTGTTTAATATTTAAAATTTAAATTATTTTTTTTATTATTGATCATAAAAACATCAGCTACCAGGCCATTACTTATTAATAGGTATACATTTGGTTTTACATATGGTTCACATTTTAATTTAAGCTTAAATTTGGTTACCTATATAATTCGATTTCCTTTAAAAAGTCGATGATGTTGTAATTTGATTGGAGATCAGGCTGTGAGACTTCACTTAATGGATATGGTAAGTGGCGGAGTAAGTGGTGTTTGATTCTTGAGTCTATGTAACTACTTCAAACATTCAATTAGTATGTGTTTGACAGTGAACTCGACACCACACTATTCACATAATATGGTAATTGGTAGGATCTTTTCTAGCCATAAGGTGATTGTGTGTTACGAATGTATGCCCAATTCGAAGGTCGATTCTAAACGATTTCATCTTTCCTGTTCAGGCCGGAGGGTTGATATATTTGGATATTGTTTTTTATCGTATTTTATTTTAATTTAATTCGGTGTTTTGTTTTCTCCAGTGATTTTGCCATTTTCGGTATAGAATCTTCTGAATAAGTTTTTTGAAATCTGTAAATGTACTTACGCTTAGACTTTGGGTGTCGGTAGACGAGGCTGATTTGGGTGTTTCTTGATCTGGTACACTGTGTCCAAAAATATTTAAATTGTTTACTTGCGTATTTATAAGAAGCGAATATAACAATAATATTGAAATAAAAACAGGTGGGTAAGTGGATGTCGCTCTGCTGTACTGTAGGTTACAAGTGGGTCACTGTATAATGGATGGTATTAAATTTGAATGCAATGATATAATATCATTGTATAAGAAAAACGATTCTGAGCGGAGACGGTATGTCAGTCTAGGTATAAGACATATTATATACTTTTCTATGGTATTAAATTATATGGAATTTATGAATAAATTCCTTAAAATATGCACAGTCTTATCATGAGCATAATTCTTATTCCTTATACTATGGTAGATTGTATGGATAGGCCATAATATTTTAATTTTTCAGTTTCATATATCCCCGAATAATATTTTTAAATTACAACAAAAACAAAGATCGTTAATATTGATTTTAATATGTAATTTTGTCCAAATTTGAATTTAAAATGTCTGTACAAAATAACTGTGTTCATATATTTTTTAAATTTTTTGGTTACAGTATGAAATATTTATGAGAACCTTTGTTTTAAATTTGCAATCTTTAGCTATAAAAACTGAACATTTTATAATTTATAAATTACAATGATTGATAATTTTTGTCAAAATTCATGTTTAAATGCTTATAAAAAAAAATTGCGCCAATGTATTTTTAATATTTTTCAATTGTTATTGTAACAATATATCAGGAGGCTTGTATTAAATTTTTACACTTTTTGGCTAAACAGATAAAACTTTATTGATATTTATGGGAAAAAAAAACTAAAAAAATTGAAAACTGAAAATGTCCGTAAACAACTCAAAAAAAGTCAAAATATTTTAAAAATTGTACAGTGTATAGAAAATGCTAATCTGAACATTCAGTGAAATTTTCATGTATCTATATTGATTCGTTTTTGAATTACAACAAAATAAGAAAATCGCTACATGAGAAATCAAGTGAATATCCAATTTTGTAAAAACTTTAATTTCAAACTCTCATAAAAATTTAATTTGACTTTCCGGTAGAGATTTTTTTATTGATAAAGGTAGACAATCTTATGAGTAATCTTGTATTAGATTTTCAAATCTTAGATTAAAAAATAAAAATTTTTACGAATTCTTAACTCAAAATAATTTGCTAATTTTTGTGATTTTTCCATATTTTGTCAATTTTTGAACTTTAAATGCTTATAAAAAAAAACTGTGACTAACGATGTTTAATATTTTTCATCTGCCTTTGAAAAAATATACTAGGTGCCTTCTATTAAATTTTCAAGATTTTTTAACCAACAAATAAAATTTTATTGATATTTCTAGAAAAGAAACTAAAAAAAAGGTGGGTAAGTGGATGTCGCTCTGCTGTACAGTAGGTTACAAGTGGGTCACTGTATAATTGATGCTATTAAATTTGAATTCAATGATACAATATCATTGTATAAGAAAAACGATTCTGAGCGAAGACGGTATGTCAGTCTAGGTTAAGACAAATTATATACATATCTATGGTATTAAAAAAAAATTGACCTATAATAAATTCCAAATTAATCATATCACATTATCACAATATCCATTAGGTACTAATAACACGTTATACACCAACAACAAACCCTGATACTATCATATATATATAATAGTACACTTTAGAAGTTTCAAGTAGGTACCAACGAATAATATTATATAATCACAACAAAATAACTAGGTTTTTTAATATGTAATTTCGTCAAAATTTGAACATAAAATGACTATAAAAATAAACTGTGATTGTATATTTTTTAGATTTTTCGGTAAGAGAATTAACTACTTACGTGGAATCTTGTTTTAAATTTTCAATCCTTAGCTATAAAAACTGAACATTTTATAATTTATTAATTACGATGATTAATAATTTTCGAGATTTTGAAAAATTCTGTCAAAATTCGATGTTAAAATGCTTATAAAAAAAAATTGTGCCTATGTATTTTTAATATTTTTCAACTGATATTGTAACAATATATCAGGAGCCTTGTATTAAATTTTTACACTTTTTGGCCCAACAGATAAAACTTAATTAATATTTATAGAAAAAAAAACTAAAAAAATTGAAAACTGAAAATGTCCGTAAACGGCTCAAAAAGAGTCAAAATATTTTCAAAATTGTATGGTGTATAGGAAATGCTAATATAAACATTCAGTGAAATTTTCATGTATCTACAGTAATTCATTTTTTAATTACAACAAAAAAAGGAAATTGCCACATGAGAAATCGAGTGAATATCCAATGTTGTAAAAATTTGAATTTCAAACGCTCATAAAAATTTAATTTGACTTTCCGGTAGAGATTTTTTTATTGATAAAGGTAGACAATCTTATGAGTAATCTTGTATTAGATTTTCAAATCTTAGATTTAAAAAGAAAAATTTTTACGAATTCTTAACTCAAAATAATTTGCTAATTTTCGTGATTTTTCCATATTTTGTCAATTTTTGAACTTTAAATGCTTATAAAAAAAAATTGTGACTAAGGATTTTTAATATTTTTCATCTGCCCTTGAAACAATATATTAGGAGCCTTCTATTAAATTTTCAAGCTTTCGCAACCAACAAATAAAATTTTATTGATATTTCTAGAAAAAAAACTAAAAAAAAACTAAAAATGAAAATGTCCCTAAACTGTTCAAAATAAAT